AATGTGGTGTTTATACACAATGGAATTTTACTCAGCCTCAAAGAATGAAATTTTGTCATTCAGAGGTAAATGGATAGAACTGAAGAAAATCATCTTAAGCAAAGTTAGTCAGGCTCAGAAGGCCAAAAATCGCATGTTCTCCTTCATATGTGGACTATAGACCCAAAACAAATGCAGTAATATTATTGGACATGGGTCACACGCTAAGGGGAGACCATGCACAGGAGGGATAGGGAACGGGAAGAAAATAAAAAACTTGAATGTGGTTAATGTGCTCAGTGTATAGGAATGAATATAGTAAATCATAAACTGGCAAAGGCCACTTTGAGAAAGGGACTAGGAAGTAGTGAAGAGGACTGGTGGAGATGAACCAGTTTGGGTTGTAATATACATATGCATGGAAACAATACAAAGAATCTCCCTGTATGGCTATCCTTGTCTCAAACAAGCAAAAACACCATGTTTTTCTTATTATCTTTTATGCTTTTTCTTCTACAAAATCACAGAACAAAAGGGTGGGGCTCTGCCCAGAGGCAGGGGTGGGGTTGGGGGGGGATAGGAGGGTGGCCCACAAGAACAATGAAATAAAATTTTAAAAAATAAAAAAAATAAAGTTCATTACATTCATGCTATTCTGCTTGGGATGTAGAAAGAAAATTTATGCCAAAACTTGCATGATAAGGGGTGACTTACTCCTGCATTCTAGAACACAAGGTATAAATCTCAATTACATCTCAGTTTCCTACAGACACTGTCTAATTCCTCCATAGGCAGAGGAAGCCTGGCATATGGTTAATGAGAACTTCCCCACACCTAAAACCTCACTTGGGAACTCTTTTTGATCCCAGGAAGCAAAATTTGGAACAACTCCATGGCCTTCTGCTTCAACAACATCAAATTATTTATAGAAATCCTCAACATGCATCCTCTATGTAGTTATTATCATGGTGCTAAAATCTTCAGCCTCCCTTTACCCACCCCTCTACCCTGAATTTCCCTGACCCCTTCAAGCAGGCTGGATTAAATAGCCTTCTTCAGTACTCCCATAATACTCTATATCTTGAATTTTGCTCATTGTTTTAATAATACGGTTGTATCTAAGTCTCTCTCTCTCTTCTCTCTTCTCTCTCCTCTCTTTCTCTCCCTCTCTCTCTTTCTCTCCCTTGCTCCCTCCTTCCCTCCACTAAGGACTGTGGAGATTAAGATGTAAGTATGTTTTTCATTATAGCATCCCATGCAACTTCCCAAAATATACTAGCTGCACAATATGTATTTCATTAATTAATTTTTCACATATCTGTTATATTTGGGGTATTTTAGTTATTTTCATTTAAACTATTATATTTTCTTGCCACAAAAAATATGTGAAGTAGACTAGGATAAATATTCCCCTTTGATAGACTGAGACAGTGCATGTTGGAGAGGGTAGATATCCTAACCAAGATTTTACAGTGAAAATTCAGCAGAAAGCCACTTGAATTTTAGTCTTAATTTTTTTAATCTAGTACATTTTCTTCTCCTTTAAGAAATTAGGCTAGAGTGAATGCATGACTGTTTCCAAAGATAAGTATTATTTCTGTAGTTGGAAGAAATCTGATCACATTTAATACATTCTAGTCTCTAGGACCAAGAACTTTTACCTATAGCTTCAAGATAGCAAATAATAGTAAACGAGAGTCCCTAATTTCTGTCAATCAAGGTACTATGGAGTTCTCAATGATGTAGTCTTTATTTTGGAAAACTGTATAGTTCAATATAATATAACAGGAAGGATTATAACTGAAATCAAAACATTCTGATTATTTCCAGTGTTTAAAAATTTTTTCCTTAAAGACAATGTTACCTCTACCTGTTTGGAGGGAGAGTCAGATGATAGTGTACCACAAGGTAAACACCTAGCTCTTTCAGCTTCTGCCAGCTACAGTCACCATACTGTCCTAGTTGATGACTAAGGAACCCAAAACCTTTCTGTGTCTTTAAAAGATGGTTACCATTTATATACAGAATGTAAGTATTCTTGACAAACCATGATCAGAGCATTACGTCATGCATGTAATAGGCTGTCAATAAATATTTATCGGATTAAAAACAAAACAACTGATAAGTGTTTTCAATTCAGTAAAAAAAGCACTGGCATCTGTTACTGTAAAGCGTCACCAGAGACTCACACACCACAGGTCCCTCCAGTGAGGCAGGTTAAGATGGGAAAAGTTCGGGACTCTTAAAACGTCATATATGACTTAATATTGTAGTTCAGGTTGAACATTCTTCTCTTTTTCTGAGCCTTCTTATTTGCAAGAATGTGAAGATTATTTACACTCTGGCCCAGAGGCAACTCAAACCACGCCCACCTCCGCCCAGGGACCCCCATGCCCCTCCCCACTCATAGGGAGCTGGCAGTCATCGGGTTTTCCCCTTCCCATAGGTGAATGTAACTTTAAAAAGTAGCTGGGAATAGGAAAAGGGGCCCTTTTTTCTCTCTCTACTTCCATCTCATACCTGGTCCATCATGGCTATTTGTAACTTTTTCTGTAACTTTAAATAAACTCCATCACGTCCCTTACCATACCCACACATCCTGCCTGGATGCTTCTATGTGGGACACAGAGAACAGCGACTCCTCTGGTCACAGAGCCTATAACACCAGAAGCCAAGCAGTGGTCCCATGTAGTGGTACTGGAGCCCATGCCAAGTGTCCGCCACAGGTGGGCAATTCTGTCACCAGAGCTCAGACACCCTCACATGCATGCAGAAAATCTTCCAGCCAAACAAGGACTGCTAACCATGCAATTCATAGTTGGTATAAACTGTGATATATCACCTTAATAGACATAGTCTCATCAAGACAGAGAGGTTGTAAATTCAATTCTAAATGAATGTTTTTGTTATATAAAATTGGCAGAAATTTAAGATCAGCATTCCATATATCAGCTGAGTTTTCCTTGAGTAGGTTTACATATTTTTCAATGACATTAGTTGAACATGCATGTAGGGTTGGGGAGGAAATAAAAATATTTAAATTGTATTACCAACTTAATTTTCTCCTTAGAATACTCTGTATAGGAAGTGGAGACCCCCACACACAAAGCCCACACTATTCTCACATTTACTTATTGGAAACAATACTCACTTTATGAAACAAAAGAAGCTACTAATGAAGTCAATGTACCATTGGAGCAGATAATTTTACAAGGCTATGTCCTTGAAGCTCAGAACCAAGGGTTTGACTGTGGGGGCAGAGACTTAGGGGCAAGACACCCCAGATAACCTCACCCACACGCATTTCTCAAACAAGGGTTTTCTGTATGCAAACGGAAAATAGAAAGGAGTATATGGTTTTGTCCTTAGTATTAAATAGCTGGCTTTTCTTCCGTGCACTTTTAAATTGCTGCACAATGCACAGCCTTCAGCACCCCGAGGAGCCTGAACAAAGGATATCAGGCAAATTCACCTACTCCCACTTCACAGAACAATGCTTGCTGTTAGCTAAGCAATTCCCAGGGCAGACTTATGAATCAGGGAGCCCAGAGCAAGTACTCAGGTTGGGTCCTTGGAATCTGGGGTCAGAAACACGTGGTGCTGCTCAATCCCTGGGGCTTTTTAAAAACATGAAAATGTGACCTAAAGTTTGTGCTTGCAAGTATACCAGAGACTATTTAGGCATTTAAAGAAATTAAAGCACATTAAGGCCTCAAAACAGCTTATTGTTTGTGCTCCAAGTTTTAACCTTTTCTTTCTTGCTGCCGTGGCTTTTCTATGGTGAATACAAAAAAATGTCTACTGAAATCAAGTAAGTGGGCTCAGCTGCATACCTAACATGTCTTACAAATAAAAAATAAACTGGTTGAGCAATAAATTATAGAGATAGGTAAATTCAAAATTCTTAAAACTCTAGTCTCATTTCCTAAGCAAAATTATGGCCACGATCTTTTCCCAGTATTCTTAATAACACACAATTTATTATCTATGTACTTAATTTAACTCACAACTTTGTATGAAAATTGGAGGTCTGGTCAGGACTATAAGCACCCAATGGCATGAAAAGTTTTCTTTCTTCTTATCTTATCAGAGAATATCCTGGCTACAGTTATATCCCACAGGTTCATATCATTCTATAAACATGTGACATAACTTTGTAGAATAGTTTCTAATGCTTTCTGACTGACTCAAGTATACCAGTGAAGTAGATTACTAATTCCATTTTTATAAATATGATTATTATCAAGTTATTAAAAACTATGAAAAAAATTAAATTTCATCACTACCATTTTACTCTTTAGTACCCACCTATAAAATATTAGAATGGAGCCAGATAAGAGAAAATATAAATACACTCTCTGTACAATGTTTATATAACTTTAAGGATATTCAGAATTATCTGAATACATGACTTAACTACTGAATAGCGAGGACAGTTAGTACTATGTAAATTCAGCATGTCTCAGATGGAATGCAATTGTTGATGGAGCACTGAAGGTGTCATATACCATAGACAAATCCAACGTTAGTTTATAATTCTAATTGACTGTGAAGCTAAATGACTAGCTCATGGTCTCCAAACAGTTATTAAATTTCTGTTATTGAGAAAAATTATGTTTATCAAGTTTCCAATGAAGTTTAAAAGTTATACAAATATATTTAATATAAACTATGAAGTTTAAAAAGGGGGAAAATACTATGAAAAAGATCTATAAGGAAAAATCCAATACTATGTATTCTCAAAAACACTTGAAAAATCACAAGCTGTTGTTTTTGTTTTGTTTTGTTTTAATAAAATAATACCAAAGCTAGGAAATTCTGAGTTAGGTGACAGAGGCTGAAAAAAAAAAAAAATCCAGTCTTCAATCCTGGCACAAATGGAAAAGAATATGAAGACCTGGTTTATTGAGCCTTTCCCTTTCTCTTAGCTAGCAAGGAAATGCCTGCCTAACACCTACCAGTGAAGGTCACTGAAAAGGTAGATTAGTGAGAATAAAACAACAAAAAGAACAGTCCCCTACCCATTGCTTCCCACTGAATGAACTTTTGACATATCAGCAAACTCTTCTTTTCTCTTGCTGCTACTGGTGTACTGCTCGCTGTATAGCTTGAGGGACATCTGCTCAACGGCATCTCTTTGTGCTTCCAGGTAGCATAGTTGAACCTCAGCCTGGAGAGAGAAACAAAGAAGAACTGCTGCTTTAATCCAGAAGGATTGCATTTCAAGTGAGGTGTAACAACTCAAAGAATGGGAATTGTTCTTGTCATTATACCTCTCCTTTTGGGGTTGGATTTAATGGGATCAGCTGGGTGTATTACAGAATTATATTTTTGATTGAATCTTGTAAATTCTTCCTTAAAATATGACTTGAATAAGTGAACTCTCAGAAGACTAAGTAAACATCACAAAATATCCCTGAGATCATAATACTGTATGATAAGACTTTACATAAAAATTCTGTGAAATTCCTTAATAACATTCCTCCTCAGATTGCCACATATGTAACATTTATTTTTTTAAAATAGATCCTCCAACTCATACATTGGAATATATACTATACATATATTCTGAATGGTCCTCTATTTTCTTCCCTGAGGAAAATAAAAAAGACTAGCATTAATTCTATTACCTCTTCAATAGTAACGATAGACTTCCTTTATTACATTTTTTGGTTCTCTGTATTATTCTCCTAATAATTTTAAGTCAAAGGTATAGTGACTTACTTATATGTAGGCTTGAACTGCTAAGTCTCTCATAGTTACTTAGGGCTCACTGTAAACGAGAGGTAGTAAGTTCACCATGCTGTTTTTTATCAAACCAAGGCCAAAAGAATGCTGGATAATGTTTGGCATGGAAATATATTGAATAGATGCTTTATTTATTCCAGCTGTTATAATCCCTGTGGCTTTAGGGCTCCCTAGAAGACCAGATGGGACTGAGAATGAAGTCTCCTCAGGGATATGCTTGACCATAGTACAGGGGAGGGAACAATGCTGAGTTGTCCTACACTGTAGGTCAAAGGACTCTTATTTATTTTAGTGTGCGTCACTAAATCCAAGCACAATCATTGACATTTTCTGATATACCTTAAAATTACTATTTTGTGATTTTTATTATGTATTTTCCTGAGAAAAACACTTATGAACCAGCTGTTGGGTTCTACACATGTAACAGAATTCTACAACATGTAACAAAAACCAAATCAGATGTGACCTCTTATTCTTTGAATCCAGAGCTGACTGTAGTTTTACTATGGAGAAAAAGAGAGTATTGCAAAGTCACGGTGACTTAAAAGACCAAAATAGGATTCTGTAAAGAAAATGGGTATAGCTTATGAAAAGTAAGGCCTCAAATCATTCTAGAATTCCTATGTTGTTGTTTGTCATAAACAGTTATGAATGCTTTAAATTATCAAAGAAATTTTTAAAAAAGTTAAAATTACTATAGTTATATGATTGAAGTTTCAGAAAGCAGTTCAAAACTGTAATATATATATATTGGTTCACATGAACTTTTCTTGCTCCAATTCTTATTCAATTGGCTTGAATAAGAATAGATTCAATTGGATTAAGAATTACATTAGGAGTTTGGGGTTGTAGTTCAGTGGTACAGCCCTTACCCAGCATGCATGAAGCCCTACATTTGATCTCAAGCACTGAGAAAAAGGTATATGGAGTGTGTGGGAAGACACAAAGAAAATGTTAAACCCAGTGTTACTCTTCTCTTTTTAATGACGTGGGAGAGGAGGTACACAGAATGTTAATGGCAGATATAGAAGAGTACTAACTAAGAGGTTTGCAAAACCCATGGAGCCTGGAAGAATCATACCTGCTGATATAAGAATATTTTTAAAAAGGACAGAACTGAGAATACAGAGTCAATGAATACAAAAAAATATATATATAGCTTTTAGGTGAATATACAAATTTTTATGTGATAAATTAGGTAATAGAGTTATTGAATGACAAAGAAGTTAAAATAGTGCCCCTGCCAAATATCCCCTCTCTCCTTCCCATTGCAAAGCTAGAGGGCATAATAAGGAGAAGCCATCCTGTACTAACTATTCCAGGAAACCCCACTAGAATAATGCACTTGTGCCAATGGGGACATGTTCAATATACAGAGGTTTCTGTTAGTTTTTAACTCTCTGAAGTAACATGCTGGAGCATGGCTTGTTCTGGGTAATGATCTCACAAATGTGTGCCACTGGTCACAAAAAGGACCATAAAGAGAAAAGTGTTGTAGACTCATCATCACTATAGAAAAACAATCAGCATTCATTCCTTTGTGGTTCTTGGCCATTTCTATGTACAAAGTGAAATACCTCTAATGTAACAGGGATGTGGAAAGGAGTTCTGAGAACAAAACTGAGAACAACTCCAAAGGTAATTAGTCACCTTGCAAAAATGATTGAAATGTTGTGATCTAAGACTTTTATTGCACAATATTTCACGGGCATTTGGCATAGATACTTCCCTGCACTAACAAGAAGATGAATTAGCTTGCTAGGTCTTTCCTATTCATCTCTATTGCCACTTCTGCTTTCAGTGATTCATTCCTACACATGCTGATAAAAATAGAACCAAAGTAGTTCCTCTTGCTAACGTTGAATGACTTTTCCAGTCTAAATCTCTCTAAAGACTATATTAAAATTTTCTCATATGTCTTAGTACAAAGATAGTTTTAGGAGACACATTTGAAGAAAATATACTTTTTAAATAAAGTATACGATTTTTTGGGTTAAAAGAATTTTATTATCACCTGTAATAATAGTGGATACTTTCACAAGTGACTATATTTTACAACTGGAAACTTAGCCTGATTAATAGTAAGATATCTAGTAAATAGTATTTGGCAATTTACTCACTAAAGAAATAAAAAGGGAACAAGATTCAGTGACTGATTCACTTCTTCCTTTCCAGGTTGCTGAGAAGCTTATGGTGCCATCAACTGGAATAAGAATGTAAGAAAAACAAAATGGGCAGATGAAAGAAATGAGCTAGGTTTGAGTCTTTAAGTTTGATGCATTGCTGGAACAATCAGAGGAAGATGCTCATCAAGCATGTGGAAATCTAGCACTTAAACGCAAACCTGAAGGCAGTTGAAATGAGATGACATGAGATGCCAGGAGAGAGCTGTATAGGAGAAAAGAAAAAGGATCAGTTTTTACTCTAGACTTGACCTGCATTACTTGTTGGCTGACCCAATACAATGGATTCTCAACTATTCTATCTCCTTTTTCTCCAGCATCCTCAAATTCATTTTATACCATGTTCATTGTCTGATTTATTTGTGTTATTGATACAAAGTTGATATCATTGGTGTCTCAGAGTTTGATGCTGAACCTTTCCCTTTGTATTCTCTTCCATTTCTTTAAATGCCATCTATATTGTAATGGCAGAAGGATCAGCAGATCCTCTCTTCTGAGCTCCACACTTACATATCCAATAAATTACTTGACATCATTACTTGAATTATTTTAAGTCTCACCATTTAAAAAATAACTCTTCATTCTCATCTTCACTGCATCCTCCAAACCTTTACATACGTAGGCCTTTCCTTCAAATGGCACCATCTATACCTTGGATCGGAAACTTGACAATCATTCATTCATTTTCATTCTCTCTCTCTCTCTCTCTCTCTCTCTCCTTCCCTCCCTCCCTCCTCTCCTCTTCCCCTTCCCTCCCCTCCTCTCTTTCTTGTTTGGCTCTACTTCAGGGCTTCCCTCTTGCTAGACAGACACCTTACTGCTTGAGCCATGCCTCTAGCCCCTTTGCTCTGGTTATTTTGGAGAGAGGGGAGGGTCTCACTTTTTGCCGAAGCTGGTCTGGACCATGAACTTATTTTATGCCTCCTGCTGCCACTGGGATGATAGCTGGACACTATTACACCCAGCTTTTTTTCTGATGAGATGGGATCTTGCAAACTTTCCCTGGGTTGGCTTGATCTATGATCCTCCTGATCCTGATCTCAGCCTCCCAAGTAGCTAGGATTCCAGGCATGATCCAGAGTAGACAGATGTCTTTATAGGCCCTTGTTTAAGCACCAAAAGTCATGAAAGTATGTAGAATGCTCAGAGAACAATGGTGACTGGAACTTTGCTGCATTTGAATAAAGAGGCTAAAGTGGAAGGGGATATACCATGGAGGATATCAGGTTAAGGAATCTGGACAATGTCCTAGGCACAATGAAGAGCCAATGAAGCCGTCACTGTGCTGTGGTAGCTTCACTTTTCTACCATCTCCCTTTTTCTGTCATGATGAGAGTCACCTGATGGATTAGTCTAGATATGCTTGCATAGCTCTTGCCACTTGGTGTACTTTGAGAATATTGCAGTGAGAAGGGAAGCACCACTCTATCAGGCTGAAGTCCACATTCTGAACAGTGGGAAGGCCCATAAGATTCCATTTGTGCACCAGACCCAGTCTTATCTACCCAAAATGATTACCCATCAGACTCACTTTTTTTTTTGCCTGCATCAATTTTTTTCTTCATGTATTAATCACATTAGTGATTAGTACATTAGTACCCCTTCCTCACCCATGCTGTTGCTTTCTCCATGGTAAAAAAGAGAGAGAGAGAGAGAGAGAAGAAAAAGAAAGAAAGAAAGAAGAAAAACAAAGGAAAGGGAAAAGTAATCCCCAGATAACACTAATCTATTCTTTGGCTATAGCACCATTTGTCTTTTCTCCACTATGACATAGCCATTTTTGAGGCAGGCCAGAACTAGGGAAAGCTCAGGATTCATAGAAAATATATGACTTCATGTTGTATTTCGGAGATTGAACATTCCTCTCTTTCTCTGAGTCTTCAATTGCAAATGTGTATGGGTTATTCCCACCCTATTTCTGGGAAAACTAAGACTACCCTCATGCCTCTCGCCACTCATTGATTATTGGTTAGGAATCACCAGGTTCTTCCCTTCCATTAGCATAAGCTTTAAAATCACCTGGAAAAAAAAGATGCTCTCTCTCTCTCTGCTTCCAGCTTCCACCTAGTTCCATCATGCCCACTCCCTAACTTTTAATAAACCCATTATACTCACATGTCCTACCATGGATTCTTCTACATTTGGAAATGTTCTGATCACAGACTGCATCATTGCCATTAACACTTTTACTTGCATTATCTGTACTTGCTATTTCTAATTTCTCTCTTCTTTTCTCTGGAACACACTCCCATCAGGCTTTTGTCCACATTTTCCATACAGTGGTCTTTCCTTAGCCCTCAACACATTCCCACCTGCTCCAGCAGCACTGGTGGGCATGCTCTGATGGCATTTGCTCTTGTTTGTATGACAACTCAGTCTCTCACCTTCCCTAGGTCTTTGCTGAAATGTCACCTTGTCATCCACATTATTAGGTTATTATTTTGTTTTCCATCTTCCTCCAGTGGATTGGAAGCCCCACAAGGGCAGAGACTTCTGTATCCATCTGCATCCCTAACACCCCACAAAGTCCATGTATGTGTGTGATAGGTATTATACAAATTGACTTGATAAATTTTGTTGAGTTTGAGCATCTAAAATGCTTTAAAATATGCAAAGAAATAAAACAGTTTGAAGGCTGTAGCCTCTAGAATTGCTGGCTTCATTCTGATGGCAATAAAGTCAGTGATGGTGCATTTTCAAAGCAAGGAATTTAATCCTGGCTGCTTGCTTGTGTATCAGCTTGAAGATGTTGGGGGAGGGCCAACTGATAAGGAAATTCAAATAGGAAGGGGTAAAATGAGGAAATGGATAAAAACTATGTATGTGCCAGAAAGCACAGATGGCAGGGAGGCCTTCCTGCCACAAAGGGAGGCAGATACCACCAAAGTCCACTTCTAAAATTTGACCAATCCCAAGAGAGGTATATTTTAAAATCACCCAATAAGAAGTTTAGTCAATGTATGGGAATAATGTCCACCCCACAGTACTCAGCCAATGAGGAACTGGGGGAGGGACTTGCACATTAGAGAATATAACACTTGTAACTACTTTGACTACCATTAAAGTCTCACTTTCGTTGGTACTCCATGTGTCTCTGAGTTCATTCTTTGAGTTTGGACAGGTGAGTGTATTTCTCAAAACTCTCTTTTAGAAAGGAGACTATTTTTCTTTGACACAAAAGAAAATTGTTGAAATATATAACTTGTTTACTATTCTCTAGGAAAAAATAAGGAAACTTTTTCAATTCAAGAGTCATTTGGGCTCATGGAGAAGACATCAGCAATGCCACAGTTTATATTTGAAACTCCATAACAGCTCAGAAAAACGGGGCTCCTTCAAAATAATAAGGGATAAACTACATTTTCGAGCAGTAATTTTGGCATTTGGGGATATTTTCCTACCTTTACTACACAATCATTTTTAACCTTCTGTGTATCTAAGCATGTACCTTTTTCTTTACTTCCTTAAACAAGTTTTATTCTGCCTCCCCCTCTTTGCTCATAGAAGCACCCTTACACAAATGGCCCAGGCTGCTTTCTTTTACTAGAAATATATTCAAGTCTCAGGACCCCCACAGGTACTGCCAAGAACTTCCAGAATTGATTAGAATCTTGGAAATCCTTACTTCTTTGTTTGGAAGTGTTCCCTTTACTTATTCCAAGACTTAGAGTTCTCACCTTTATGTTGTTTTCCCCTAAGATCTAGTTATTATTATTATTATTTTTTGCATTTTTACTTTTCTTGTCATTGTTGGCAGGTCCTAATTTCCTAAAATAATTCGCCTTTGGGATTGAATTAGAAGGAAATTCAAAGTTTATTTTCTTTGTCCAGAAATGAACTCCCTACGGTCACTAATTCACACATCCATGATTAGCTACATTCTGGCTAAATACAAATAACATTTACCATTACAATGGATGAGAATCTTATGCCATCCTGGCAGACCTGCATGCACAATTGAGTGGGGTGTCAAAGCTTCCTTCTGCGGAGTCAGGACTAAAGGAGCAATATATTTCTTTGGAGTCAAGTTGATTAAGGGCCTTCATTTAGTCATTCAACAAATACATCTTACATGTCTCTTACATGAAAGATATACAAGATACAAATGTGGGTTAAATACCATATCTACCCTCAGCAAACATATAATCTAGAATCACAGAAAATTATGGTATTCAGAGGAGCACAAATAGTTATTCAAGGATAAGACTAATTATGCCCTTCAAAAAATGTTGCCAAGGAAACAATTAGTAAATTTATTAGAATGTTCTTTTTAATTGTTGGGAAAGGGAATTATAAAAGTATTAAAATATATTTCTCTTTTTAAAAATTAGATATATATATCAAAAATTTAACAAGGATTCTCAGAACTGTTTCAATATGATTACTCAGCAAAGATCATTGCACATAGTAATCTCTGTACATTAGTAAACAAAACTATCATCCTACTGGCAGCTCCAGAGAACCTAGAAGTAGGTTCTCAAGGGTTATTTGTAGTTCTCATGTCTGTGTGCAAAAGGTAATTGATTTCTCAACAGAATTATACTTATACCTTTAAAAGGCCATTTCTACTTTTATGGACTTACTGTTTACAAACCATTAAAAATAGTTACTACTATGTGCAGGAAATTTAATTTTAAACTGTCTCCTTAATGATAACTGTTAAATGGTAAGCATTTAAACAAACCAGATAAATTAATATTAATGCTATTTTCATTACTTCTTATGCATCTGTTTGTATAAATGTCCTCTTCCTCTATTTTAATGACAGATGAGATGTTTATTAAAATTACAACAAAAACACCTTCACTTAAATGTAAAAAACAAATACATCAAACAATTGCATTTGTGGAGCTCTTCATCCGCCTCTCCCTCTCTCCTTTTCGGAATGTTAAACTCATTAAACCTCAGCATTTTATGCCATGAGTTAGGGTGGGGAGAAAGTGTCATGTGGACTGAAGGACATGATCAGAATTTCTGATGCTTCTCCATTACTGTTTCCTTCACAAATGAGCACAGTGGCACAGGCGTCAAGTCTGTGCTTATATTCCATAGCAATTCCTTATTCTTGTCTTCCAAGTTCCAGGATAGAAAATTCTTACTTAATTTCTGGCAGAATCTAAAAATTAAAAATGTATACTGTGAAGATACACTCACAGTTCTCTTGCCCCGCAGGACTGGCAGATCCTTCCTACGTACAATGATGCTGGCAAATGCTGCTATTAACTCTGTGACTGCAACAGCTCTCCAGCTCTCTTGAAATTCTGTCAAACAGTTGTCCTTAGATGGAGATGGAAAAAACGTAATGATGCAGGAACAACAAGAATTACTTTACATACTAATAATAACCATTTAGTTATCAAAACAGAGCCAAACAAGTATGCCTTTATACTGCTCTTTTAAAAATTTAGCTTCCTAGGGTTCTAATAATCAGGGCGTATGTTCGGGAATGCATGGTAACACTCAGCTCAGTGCCTATTTCCTCATTTCAAAGAGAATCACTCAAACCGACATCAACTCTGTCAAGAATCTTGACTTTGAGTTGCTAATGTAGAGTAAAAATCAATATAAATTTTGATCATTTGATGAATATTTACCTCTTTCTTTTAGTGTTTGGGGATTTAGAATTGAAAAGTGCTGAATCAAGTCATTTTATTTTTTTGTGTTTGTGCCAACACCAATTTACTGCGTTCCAGAAAGTTCCTGAACAAGATGTCTCAGGTGGCACACATGTTGGTTTTTCCTGTCAATCATAACAGTATGTCACTAGGGAACAATAATCATTCCCCTTTCATATGCTTAGTATTCCAAAAGTGCATATTTTGATTATTTCCCAGGGAAAGGTAAACTTTCTCATTTAGATACACTACGGTAAGCCTGGGTGTCTGTTGTTCCTGGCATTCAGCTGAGCCTAAATTGATACAAGCTATTAAAAGTTAAACACTTCATTTTAGGCTACAAGAGTCAGGAACAATAAATAGAGTTTTATGAATAGATTTCTCTAGAAGAAAAATTCAGTATCATCCCAAAATAAAAAGCTTTGGTAGAAGCTGCCAGTTTTCTATATTCATGACCTAAAAAAGTAATAAAATATCAACTGACTGCTCAAAACAGCAGAAAGATTTCCCCACAAAAAAAGCCTTTACATTTCTATGACAAATGAAAATGCCCTACAGACAAATGACATTGAGAAAATTTAACAGCTAAAATGTGATTCTAGCCTGAACCCAGTGCTACATGATCAGAGAGCATTGCCACCATTCTGTATCACGATCTCTTTCTCTCTACATATACATATATACACATGCATATATATGTATTTATAACACAAAAGCTTACTACTAACAGAATGTTTCAATACTGATTTTAAAATAATGGTCTTTCCTAATGTGAAAAAAAAGAAATTAATTGCAAGCACCAAAAGGTAAGTTATTCTTATATTTCAGAAATCTCATTTACAATACAGTGATGGAAGACTCTATATTAAGAAAGCATTTTCATTGGTTCCCTATAAATTAAATAAAAATGGCAGCAGCTGCCTTTCCCAAAGATGATATAGCTCTGGACAATCACTAGACATTATGTAGACAGATGTTTAAAATAATATAAAGTATTTAGATTGCCAGATACCTTGGTAGATACGAAGGCAATTATAGGATGTCTTTGTTAAATTACATTTTTCATTTTTGTGAGGAGAAAAAAGAATTGTCCTGGAAACAGTACCAACAGGAAATGATCCTATATCTAAAACAGCTGGAGACTGTAACTAATCTAAATTTACTTGGAAATAAAAATGCTGTATGCCTCTAGAGGCATGCAGTAACATGCCATAAAAACAGATGAGAATATAAAAGTATTTAAAAGGGAGAAAATATATTTTATCTAGATATTATTTTGAAATGTTATCTGCTGATAAAATAAGAAATATTTCAAGATAAAGAAAAGAAAGAAAATCAAAAGAGCCATTTTGAAACTTATAATAGATATTTTAAAGTCATATTTGTAGGAAATTCCAAAAATATTTTTTAGAAAAAACCCTTTGCTTTTCACTATATTGGCTATTAATCACCTTATTAAAAGTCATAAGGTGAAAGCATATACTTGAGTTTAATTGGGAAATTCTAATGAAAGAGAGGATACTTACTATGAATAAATTAAGGACCCTAGTTGTTGAACAAAAACATTCCAGCAATTCTCAAAGCCATATGCAATAATAGCCTCCATACAAAATTTCCCTACTACCCTTCTCCATTCCCCAATGCTGACTCTCATTAGCTATTGAACTGGAAAAACATCTGATATACAAATTCATACTCAATAGTCACAGGCATTAATAACTTAGTGTAGAATACCTCCAACTTCATTAAGTTCAGTATTCTTCACTTAAAACTAAAATGCATTAACCTATAAGATAATTTTAAGAAAAACCATGCATGAAAACCTATTTGCATGGAAGGGGTGGGGAGAGCCTGTGAATGTACCCCTATGTCTTGGGTGTTCATTACTTTCCTCTATTTCTAAGACTCATCTTGGTCCAGCTCCTTAAGGGTCTGATTCTCAGGCAAGAAGAGACCATGTAAAGCTACAATTTCCCATGGTACCCACCACTGCAGGAGGGCACAGAGCCTCAGGATCTAGTTTATGTGTCAGCTGGAGAGGAGAACCCAACAGGAAGAAAAAGAGATGAGGAGGATAAAGGCAGACAAGAAGATCCAGAGAATAAACCAAGCAAGTTTGATGACTGTGGAGATCAGTTGTCACGATAGTGCTCACAAAACCCAAAATGTAATGTTCTTACACAAAATCTTAAAGTTTTTTTCATAAATTGATGTTGCAATGATACCCTCAAAAAATAAAATCCTAAGACTTAAAGTAAAACTCAAAAACATATCCAATAATTCTCTCCTTTCTACAAGTTCACCAGCTATTAAAAGGAACAACTAGAGATATTTTTCTGGTAGATCTATGACAAAGACACACACACACACCACACACACACACACACACCACTCTCTCTCACACAATTCTACAATGGTGACTCCCATACATTTGTATTGTCTATATAACTACATAGACAGAACACCACTGCTGCTTATAGCTTGTAAAACTTAATGTGTTGCTTAGGTTTTCCTGAAAAGTTTCTCCAGACCTAATCTATCAGTTTCAGAGGTGACAAAACAAAAGAATAACAACAAAACTTGATTCCAAGATGGTAGCTAGAGGGAGGAAGCAGAAAGCGTGCCTCCTAAAGTAAAATCTTGGAGAGATGCTGGAGATACAACTTACAGGAAAAACCACTGAGAAGAGGCAAACTTTGACTCCTCCACACCTCCAGCCTGCACATAGCATCTCCACTTCACATTAAACAGAGAAATCAGGAGGCCCCCCCGCACCGCCAGATGCTGGCGCCAAGACTGCTTGGGAAGACGCAGACCACAAGGTGAGCTGAGTGGCACATGGTACTCCCACAGACAACCCTGGGCCAGATCAGCATAGCCCCCTGGACAGACTGACCCCCACCCAGGGAAAAAAGAGAAACTGAGTAATAAGCAATAACAACAAAAAAGACACGTAGCAAAGAGGGTGGGGCACCCTGAGCGCTGAAAAGGGGGGAGGGGAATCCCTCATGGAACTGTAAATAAACAAGCAGGGCAAGAGAAGGCAGGAACAGGGGCACACACCAAGCAACCAGGAGCAGGAAAGTTTGTAAAAGCAGCGGTGGGAGGAAAACTCCACAGGAGTGGGGGAAGACCCACTTCCCATGTGAGCTGTAAATAAACACGCAGGCCTGAGAAAGTGGGTGCAGTGTCACCTTCCCCAGTGTGCTTGGAAATGGGAAAGCTTGTAGCAGCAGCTTGCGCACAGGAGAACTCTTAAGTAAACAAAGCCTGTGGGGCCAGGTGAGTGTTAAGGTCACCCCTGAGATCTGCATAAATAACGCCTCCAGCAACAGCAGGCTGACAGCAGCAGGCAGGCAAGACACAGCCACGGATAGCCACTCACAGACCTGACTCCAGACTTTTTTTTTTCTGTCTCCCTACCTTTGATGAGAAAACAACTGAACTACACCTGCATGCTGAAAAACTTACTGAAACTGTATTGCATTTGAACATGGGACACTTTGTGAGGTTTTTTTTGTTTTGTGAGGTTCTGTTTTATTTTGGTTTTTCCAGTCTGTTTCCCCTTTGATGAGACAACCACAGAACTACTTCAGAGGCACCACTTCCAGGATTGGAGGCTGAGGGACGAACACCAAAATTATTAAGACTGAAACTTTATTGCATTTGAACTTGGAGATTTTATATATATATATTTTTTCATTTATTTATTTTTATTTTTATTTATTTTTATTTTTTATTTTCAATCCTCTCTCTGTCTCTCTAAGGCATTTTCTGTTCATGGTTGATTAGTACACTGTCTCTCCCTGTTTATATCTTTGAAACTTTTTCTGTTTGTTTCTTTGTTTTTTTCTACTTGTTTATTTGTTTTTCCCTTTTCCTTTAACTTCTTTGCTTTCCATCGCCTCTCACCCTTCCATTCTAAATATCACCAGTGCTATTATTACAAGCTAGAAAATACTTAATTGCACACAGTACAGGGACAATAACAACACCAAGGGCAATGGCAGGAAGACAGAAAAAAATGGAAGCCAGTTTCCCTATAGCAAAAAATTAGTACAGGAACCAGAGGGAAATGAAGAAAACAGACACTCAGATCCAGACTCCAGCAAAATGAAGATAAACTATGCCAAAGAACCCAATGAAACCCACAAGAATAATCTAAAAGAAGAAATACTAAGGTACTCAATGAGAATTTTATAGAGATGATACTGGATAGGGTCAACCAAAATGTACAGGAGACACTCAAAAAATTCAAACACAACAAAAATAGAGAATTTGGAAAAGCAAAAGAAGAAATAAAGGAAACCATAGAAGCACTGTATAAACACCAAAGTGAAACAAAGAACACGATTAATAAAGAGATAAATGAACTCAGGACAAAAATAGACAATATTAAAAAGGAAACAACCCAGGAAGTGGAAAACCTCAGAAAAAGAATGAAACAGAATAGACACTCAAAAATTCAAAACAACAAAAATAGAGAATTTGGAAAAAGCAAAAGAAGAAATAAAGGAAACCATAAGAAGCACTGTATAAACACCCAAGTGAAACAAAGAACACGATTAATAAAGAGATAAATGAACTCAGGACAAAAATAGACAATATTAAAAAGGAAACAACCCAGGAAGTGGAAAACCTCAGAAAAAAGAATGAAACAGAATTGCAAAACAAAACAGGGGTCCAATCCAGCAGAATAGAAAAAACAGAA